CTCTTGGCCGTGGGGCCGGCCGTTGCTCCCGGCCGGCGGGGAGCCGCACCGCACTGCGGGACAGCGTCGTCACCCAAAGCCATCGCTTTGCCCCCAATTTTCCCCCCAAAAATGCCCAACCGAGGGGGATTTGCTGGGCAGCTGCGGCTCACCCAGGCCCATTTTGCACGTGTAGGAGAGGTGGTAGTTGCAGGGCACGTCGCTCCACTGGCCGCCGTCGTGCCAAACCATCACGACGCAGTTTTCCCCGGAGAGGAAATAGCTGTCGGGCTGCCCGGGGTGCCAGTTCTCGTAGAGCTTTGCAAAGGGGGCCAGGGCGTTATCGCCGAAACCGCCTCGTGTGACCTCCCTCCCTCCAGTCTGATGCACCCAAAAGCAGCTCTGGGTGCTCGGCCGGGTGTCTCGTCACCCGCTTTATCTGCAGATAACAGGTGACTCATCCCACGGGATGTTTTCCATGGGATGAGGAGGCACAGCCGGGTTTCTTTTCCCAGGGGACCGTGGCGGGGGGGATGCTGAGGGGCCATCGCAGTGGGTCGGGGGTCCTGACTTACCAACGGGCTCCCATCGGACCACTGGAAATCGCCCTCGATGGTCCGGTCGTTGAGGCCGATCCACTGGTATTCCCGGTACTGATCTGGGAGGGCTCGGTGGTTAGAGGAGGGGAGGGTGCAGAGGTGCCCCCCGGAAGGGGCTCGGGGGTCCCGGGCCACCGGCTGCGCCGTTTGGCTTCTCTGGCAAAGGAGGGAGGCCGGGATGCCCCGAGGCGGGGTGATGGGCGGCGGGGCCGGTGGAACCGGGGGCCGCCAGGAGAGGGCAGCCTGTCCCCGCTGTCACCGCATCGAGGTCCCCGTCTGTCGCTCCTGTCCCTAGAGGTCCCTACTTGTCCTCCACTGCCAGCTTGTCCTTACTGTCCCTACAGGTCTTTTCCTCTTCCCAGAGGTCCCTGCCTGTCCCTACGGGTCCCTGCATCTCCCTAGTTGTCCCTACCTGTCTCTGCCTGGTCCTGCCTCTCCCTGGAGATCTGTTCCTGTCCCTGCCATCTTCGCAGGTGCTTGCCCAGTCCTGCCTGTCCCTGAAGGTCCCTGCTTGTCCCTCCCTATCCAACCTGTCCCTCCTGCAGGTCTCTGTCTCCTCATGGAGGTCCCTGCTGTCCTTTCTTGTCCCTACCTAGTCCTGCCTTTCCCTGAAGGTTCCTCCTGTCTCTGCTTGTGCTTGGAAGGCCCTGCCTGCTCCTGCAGGTCCCTGCTTGTCCCTGCAGGTCCCTGCCTGTCCCTGACAGGTTCTGCAGGTCCCTGCCTGTCCTTGCTTGTCCTCTCCCTGCAGGTGTCTGCTCTCTCCCTGCTTCTCACCGACGTCCCTCCAGGCACCTTCGCTTTCTGCACTGTCACTGCAGCTGCCTCCTGTCCTGCACTTTCTCCTCTGCTCCCTCTTCCATGCAAGCTTCCCCACGGCTCATTGCTTCGCCTTCAATTCGAGCTGGACGCGTCTAACCGCTATCAATCCACCCACCCATCCATGCAACGATCCGTCTCCGTGCTCACCCACCCGTCTCGAGACGCATCCACCCCGCCGGAGCCCGGAGCGCGGGGTTTGTGGCACGTACCGTTAATGAAGTCCTGCTCCTCGGGGGTCAGGATGGTGGCCAGGTGGCCCCCGTGGTGCCTGCACTGGCTCTCGGCATCCTCCCAGCTCCTCCGCGTGGAGAAATGCTTGTAGCAGGCGCCCTGGAAGCCGTCCCAGCCGGGGTTGCACTTGTGCAGGGCTGAGCGGTGGCAGGGGGGGAAGAAAAGGGTCAGTGCAGAGGGACCCGAAAAGCAAAGTGTCACCTGCAGCCACTGCATTCGCACGGCAGGGACGCGGCCACCGCGCTGAGGCCGCGCGCACTCACGTCGCTCGCAGGTGCTGCCGCCGTAGCCGGGCAGGCACATGCAGCCCACGCGCTCGCCGTCGTCGCTGCACGTCCCTCCGTTGAGGCAGGGGTTGGGGACACAGTCGTCACCTGCAAGGCACACGCACCCTTGGTGAGCGTCCCCGAGGACAGCGGGGGACAGAGCTGGCCTTGTCACAAAGGCTGGCTGCAAAGCGGCTGGCTATACATGGTGGCTACTAGGTTCCTGCTTTGGCCACCAAGTGCTTGGAATGCCTGTGTGGAGGGGGAAGGATGTCCAGGGATGTCCTCCTCCTCCCGGATCTCACTTTAATCTATGGGAAGCAGTCAGCTCAGCTGGCCGGGCTCGGAGCTGGCCGGCTTGGTGGCTTTGGCCACCGCTTGTGCCCGCACATGCGCAAGAAGGGACACAAGCGTCAGCCCATTGCGTGAGCGCTGACAGAGGCCACCGGTGCCCTGCGCAGCTGGGGGCTGCCGTGTCCCCCGAGCGGGACACAGTGTCCCCCCCC